GCCAAGGAATATTTCAGACAATATTTCAGCCCTACCTTTTCAGAAAATACCCAGGAAGGGAGATCTTCCAGGTCCCCGATGGCTTTCACTAAACCAAGTTCTGACCRAGGATTTTCAGTAAGCAAGAGAAAAATTAAATCAATTGAATTCCAGGTTGGAAGTGACCTCAAGTATCTGCTCCAGTCTTTCCTGGCATAAATAATCCTTGAAGAAATAATTTAATTGTGATATTCTTTTCTGGRGCAGTACTTAGGTTACTTTTCTTAYGCACATTTTGCTCCCTGGAGTTCCCAGATGTCAACCCCCCCGTGCTTCCCATGGGTTCTTCACTGGAATGTTTTGTGTTTTCTGGGATGTACAGGGCTGATGTTTTTTTTTTGTTTTCCAGAGGGGATGTGTGTGCCTGGATCAGGTGCATGTCCCGTCCTACAGAGCAGGAGATTCTGAGCTGTGACCGTGCCCYGCCAACCCCTACAATGTGAGACCCGTGGAGAATTCCTATTACTGTGTAGTAAGTAAATTCKGTTCTTTTCATATTTATTTTTAAAAGATGGATTTGTCAGACTTGGCCCAATTTAAAAGGGAGGGAATGTAATTTAAACTTTATCCTTTTGCCATGGCTACATTACATATCCCCAAAAAATTTATCTGGTTCAGGAAACAAAAGCAAAGCTTTGCTTTGCTGCTTTTACTGCTCAATACATGAATATCTAATATTAACAAAAATTTCCCTYTCTTCCCCCACAGGTAAATAGCAGGAAGCAAACCATGGACACTCAGTTATTTTCCCCATTTTTGGGAGCAGTCTCCAGTCCTCCCACGGCCCCGGAATCCTCACGGCTCAGCAGCGACTGGCTGGGGTGTGCTGAGGATTTTGGATCCCAAGCTGCCTTCCAGGAGTGCCCAAAGAAAAGGTACCAGCATTCCTGCTRTGGCCTTAGGGCTCTGCAATGCTTGGATTCTCGTGGTGGAGAACAATTGGGGATTCCGGGTGTTTTTTTTGGGAGAGTTTCTGGCATCACTGGAGGCTCAGTAGATTTTCTTTGCTCTGTARTGGTTATTACTGAGTGTGAATAAAGGTGTTTGTGAGTTTTTCTTCTTTCCATCCTAAAGCCAATGATGGTGACAGAATGGATGGAGTTGTTTGGTAGAGACTGGCACTGCAGCTTTGGACACTGGTGATGCTTTTCTGGTGAACATTTCTAATACCTCACTGCATTTTTTTATCATTTGCTTAATAAGAAAGATAAAATTTGAGGTGGGGAGAAAGGGGAGTCCACTGATTTGCAAGGTGCTGGAAGGTAGCAGTTAAGGAAGATACATGGATTGCAAAAAAACTTARTTTTTCTTTTGCTGGTCTTCCCTGGGAAGCATCACAATGGTGTTTATTTTTGTATAAAAGATCTCACAGCTTTGGTATCAGCTGTAAGAGTTGATTTTAAGCAAAGAGTAGCAATTCGCTATTTAAATATACAATATTTTCTTGAAAGCAGTCTTTAGGTTATTRCAAGGAAGCTTTAAAAACAAAAAGAGTTATGGGATTAGATTTAATGATACTGATAATCCACGTCTAGAGTCATTCTGAGCCTGCAGATATTCAGAATTCCTTGAAGTGTCCTTTATGAAAAAAAAAGAGAAAAAACTTTGCCCTCTGACAAAGACACAGATCTGGTTATCAAATATCAGTCYTGCATTCACAAAACATTTTTAAAGCGTGTTTTCACTTCTGTGTATCCCAAATAAAATCACATCAACCAGATCCCTTCAAGAGCAAAGCAGTCATGGAGTGAGCTAGAACTAAAAATGTGGTGAGGGCTTAAAAGCCAGCAGGGTGTGATTTTCACTGRTTTTCACTGTGGCAGGAGATTAACAAGGTGATTTTCTGATTGTTTATCCCACATTTGATGGTCTCTGTTAATCAGCAGAGTCAGTGAGCAATTAATTATGGTACAGCCGAGGTGGTTGGGGTAAGGTGGCACCAGGGGAAGCTCAGAGATCTTCARGGATGCTAAGAGGAATCAGAATAGGGTGGTGAGGGAAGTTCATTGGGGCAAAATAAATGAGTACAGAGGGAAGGATATCTTTAATAGCATTGTTTTAATTAACTTGTGACTAAGAGTCAGATGTCATCACARACAGCTCTATAAAAGTCTCATCTTGTATCTTGTAGAAGTTGTGCTTGTTTTAAAGTAGTGATGATTGAACCCCTCTGGTGTTTACTAGGAATATTTACTAAAATTTTGACCAAATCCTGTCTAAAAGGGGATTAAAAAAATTGTTCAGCTGTAGTGTAACCTATTATTTTTTGAGATTAGCATAATAGGTTTTGAATTATTTGAAGGAGATGAATTAGAATCCTTGRGACTTTGAGAATATTGTTCCTATTTATGCTCCAAACGTGACAGTCAAGGTTTGAAGGAATGTCCATGGGATAGTTTTGTTTCTTGGAAAGAGAKGGAAATCTTTTGCTGCTTGGGAAGTCTCTGGTCAGGAAAATTGTTCCACTTCTCTTGGGCTGTAGAATTCACAGATGCAGGATGGCATTTCTCTAGAGGGATACTGAGAATACATTAAATGCAGAACAACTAGAAAATGTTGCTAAAATAAATTAAAATTTGACCATTTTATTTTTGCCTCTTTTGTTTAGGAGAAAAATACGTTCATCTATCTAAGCTTTTATTTTATTTTTTTTCTTCCAGGGCACCAATAAACCTTTCTTACTCTGGCAATGGCCCTGATATGTTTGGGTTGGTGTCAAGCATTTTAGAGGAGCCAAACAAGCCAGAACCAGCTACAGATTGGTAAGTTTGTTCTGAATTCATTCAATTTCTGTGTTGTTTTTTTATTCCCATTGTCAAACATGTGATACTCGTTTTCAATTATTTCAGAATTGTGTAATGAAAGTCTTTCAAATCCCCTGAAAACATGGAAATGTCTCTACTTCACTTGCCAGTAAAAAACAAGAAAAGGGCAGTGAACTATTGGAAATGCAAATTTTCTAAAGTTTTCCATCAGCTTTGCAGCATTYGAGGAGGAAAAARAAWATAWTTAATTTTAACCAGTGGGGAGCTGACTGAATACAATGGAATCTAAAATATTTAGTAAATCCAAATAAACACTGCATTTCTGAACGTGTGTCAGATAAAYGGTGTCGGTGATGAGATTTCACAGAACATTTGCTCGCCTGCAGCGCGAATATTCTCCCTGTTTTTGAGGAGAGCTGTGTGTGGCTGGTCAAAAACATAATGTTGGGGAATAGCCATGATATGTGAATTATTTTAAAGCAAGAGGTGGCGATTATTGGGAGATTTTAGGGTATTTCAGTTGTTACAGGAGGTTTGTTTAACTCTGTTACAGGAATTCTCTCTCTCGATTGTTTCCCCCGATGTGGGCGCCTGAYCTSGGCAGCAATGGGGAGTTCCCGGGGMTCTCAGCTCAGCACCCTGTCCAAAACAAGGATTTTAAGGATTTCCCCACCCTGCTGGGCACCAGCTGCCACCAGGAACCCCTGCAGGAGCCTCCTGGTGTGGAGATGCTGCACAGGGGCTTGGARGATCTGCAGCTCCTCGAGTCTTGGCTCTCTCCCTGCGCTCACCCCGACAGTGCCCTSAGGAGCTCCTGCCCTGGGAATTCCTCTTGGCAGAACAGCACCACGATTCCCCAGGAAGGGTTTTCCTTCCCAAATAACCAGCATTTGTGCACTTTTGACCATGTGAGGTTAAATGGAGAATATGAAAAGTGTGGGTCCGATTTTAGCCCTTTTTCTCCTCGGAACAGAGTGAAGGAAAGCCCCAGTGTACAGAAGGAGTTTTGGAGAAGTGAAAGGGCAAGAGGAAAAGCTCTGAAAAATTATGCTCCAGGACAAACTAAGTATTCCCCTGATCTTTCCAATCAGCCTGTTGATAACTCTTGGGATAAAATATCCCAGGAAAACCACCTGTTTTCTAAAAGATACGGAAACTTTACAGCTGCTCACAAACCACAGTCACCCGTTCATCCATCGCTTTATTTTTTCAATCAACCCCTGAAAGAAAATAATTTCTCTGGAGGAATGGGCAGAAAACACCAGGAAACCCATGGCTTTACTTTGGGGGATGGTTTTAATAATAACAATAATAATAATGAGTGCAAGGTGAATATGGGCCCTAAGGAAAGCTCCCATCRAGCAGCTGAATATGATTTATCTGTGAAAAATGTCATGCAAAATGGGAGTTATTCCTTGTACCATGGAGGGGTGTGGCTGGATGGGAAGAGTCTGGCAGCTGCATCTGATATTCCATATGGAAAACAAATGGCCACCAGCCCCCAGTCCTCGTCAGGGGTTTCCACCATGTCTGGGGGCTCCCCCACCCACCAGCCCTTACCACAGCCCCCYTACCACTCCCAGCTCCTTCCTGCCCTCCCTCCCAGGAAAGGTGGGAGCTTACAGACATCTAATGGAGTTTCCAGTCATTTGGGAGTTCCTCATTTCGTCTCAGAGTGCCAGAAGCAGATGAGACCCGTTGGGAGATCTCAGGAGGATGTGCTGGCGAACAAGGAGGGACGACGCCGTAAATTCCCYGTTCATTTTCCACCCGACTGGTTCACGCAGCAGAAAACTGCGGGTGAAGAACCTGAGAAATACCMCAGGTTTCCAAAAAAGCAGAACCAGGAAAACAGCAATAAAGATGACAGGAGAGGCAGAAGGAATTGGATGCCTCATTTGGGATTYGCAGCCCCAAACCGCCAGCCCTTCAACGCGTTCCCAAAAAAGCACGAGCAGGGCGGTGGCAGCTTGTCAGATTTCATCAATCCTTCTCTTCTCCCTTCTTTCCCATTAATGTCTGATTTTATGCAAAATCCTGGCTTTCCTCCATTTAACCACCAATTGTTTTCCTCAGCAAATAATTTCAATTTCCTTCCGCCACCATTTCCATTCTCGGACCTCACAGATCTTTTTCACTACGACGACTTTAACCCCTTGAGTCCCTTCATTGGTGATCTCTTCTCTGGAGACCTCCCTGCCCCCTGCTTTGCCTTTCCAGCCCCATTTAACAGGTACAGAGCTCCCAGGAGCCGCAGTGGCCCCGCTAATGAGCTGCACATCCGGCTCGAGGAGTGCTGTGAGCAATGGAGAGCTTTGGAGAAGGACAGGAGGAAGGTAAAACACAACTGCTGATGGCTCCTGATAAAGGCTTGGCTGGCTTTAAATCGTGTGAAGAAAGAGAGGAAGGTTTATGGTGTTCATTCTTTGGTTGGTTGGGTTTTTCTGGTTGGTTTTTTTTTGTTGTTTAAGGTTGGTTTGAGTTTTTTTTTTGTTGGTTTGTTTTGGGGTTTTTTGGTTCTTTTTGTTGGTTTGCTTTGGGTTTTAATGGTCAGTGATAATCACTGCTTTCTGTTTGTGTTTTTTTCTTGTCATGGTAAATCTCTGGCTTTAGTAAAAAAGAAAATGAASTAACTCATCCTGGGCACCCTTATGTGGCTGTAGAGAAAACCTACAATATGTTTTTTTTCGTTTCCAAAGGAAATTTCAATTTGTGGTCTTTTTATGGGAACTTCCCTGCCTCAGGCTCATTCCAAGAACTGTTGGCAGGGAGGGATCACACTGATAATGARGGTATTGCCCTTGGGAGTGAAAGCTCTGAAGGAGGAGGAAGGGCTTTCCCAGGAGTAGACAAATCCCTGAATCCCATGCCAGGTCTCAGAAACTCAACTGTCCATAACTACACACCGAGTGCCTGGCTGCTTCCACCCTGGAGAAGCCTCCTGGCCATGGGATGAAGGTGTGTGATTAAATTGGATCTGGAAAACACCATTTTCATTCCATCAGCAACAGTGGGGCCTTGCTGATGGACTTTGGGAATTTTGTGCATGGAGCTGCCTATGTTGTCCTCTAATGGTTGTCTTTAAACCCTCTCTGGGTCTATGGATGCAGACTCTTCTCTGCTTGCTGGCCTTCCAGGAATTCTCTGCAAGTGAGAAAGGGAGATGGTGATTCCTGCTCATGTGTTTATAGTGCATTAAATATCAGTTAATTGCTTATTAATTGTAATTCTTAATTACATGGTGTCATTCTATGAATCCATGACCCTTTCCCCATTTGTTTTTTGTTTCTGGATGCCTTTCAGGCTCCTCAAATGATGAGTACAGGTGGAGTCAGCTCTTGTGATCCATGTTAGATGAGGGCAGGGACTAAATAATGTAGTTTAGTCAGTAAAGCAAAAAGAAAAGGACTTTCGGCACATGTCTACAGTACTACACAGTGTGAGTGGGCTTAGCCCTGCCTCAGCCTGCAGTGCAGCCCCAGAGCACTCTCTCCACATCCATTTCACCCTGGAGAAGGAATGAGATACAGAATCTCCTCCTAGTTGCCTGTTTTTTTTTACTCCAAGTGTGAGAATTTCCTATCCAAAAATAGGTTTGGTGATGTTTAGTCACTGTCTGTGTTATGCAGTCGATGTTTTTCTCCACGGGGTTTGGCTCCTGTGTTGATAATTTTTCAGAGCTGGTGTCAGTTTCTGTTAAATGTGGTTTCACCCTGATGCATTTCAGATGCAATTTATGCTGCTGTGATCAGCTGGTTCTTTTTTTTTAATTATCCTAAAATGCGACATTTGAGAGAAGCAGTGAGAGGTGTTGAACTCTGAGGGTGAGCAGAATTGGGGAAATATTCCTGCAAGGAAGCTGGAGAGGAGCTTTTGATATGGGCATGTAGGGATAGGTCAAGGGGGATGACTTTAAACCAAAAGAGGGCAGGGTTACATTAGATTTGGAGAGTTTTTGCTGTGAGGGTGGGGAGGCCCTGGCACAGGGTGCCCAGAGAAGCTGTGGCTGCCCCTGGATCCCTGGCAGTGTCCAAGGCCAGGCTGGACAGGGCTTGGAGAACCCTGGGACAGTGGAAGGTGTTCCTGGCGTGGCAGGGGTGGCACTGGATGGGCTTTAAACTCCCTTCCACCCCAAACCCTTCTGGGATCTGGTGGTGTTTGGGAATGTTTCTCTGTGAGCACAGTCAGAAGTTCAGACAGGACGCTCGCTCCTAATCCTAAATCACAGAGATAACCCCGTGCTCATTTCAAACCATCAGCTGACCAATTGTTTCCCTTTCAGACTGAAGCTGACCTGGCCAGACACTTCCCAGGGCAGTGCATCTCCACCTCCAGCCCTGGCCCTGTGTCCCGGCTCCCTGCCCACCCATCCCGCGTGGATCGCCTGATTGTGGACCAGTCCCGGGAGCAAGCCAGGGTAGGCCTGCTGCAGCTGCAGTCCCTGTCATTCTTTTGGGATYTGTTTGTTTATCAATGAGTACTCGATGATTTTGGTGTTTTTTGGCAGGTGCTGGCGTTAATAGGGACAATGGAGAGGCTCTGCGGTGTCCCTGTGCATGGGAACATCTCCAGGACCTTGGAACTCCACCTGGAAGCCATTCAGGTGACCCAGGCACGTCGGAAGGAGGAGATTGTGAATGCTGCTAACCCCCAGAGTCAGGGGCTGCCACACTGTAACAACGAGAAAGGTAATGCTGCCCATTTCTGGGGCTCTCARAACTTTTTTAAACACTTCATTATGGCTATATTCCACTTGAAATTATGTCAGTCTAAACTACGCAGCAGTTCTTCCCTCTGCATTGAAAGGAAGATACACACGTGTTACTTTTTAAGACTTTCAATCACTTTGAGATCTATTTTCTTTTTTGTTTTTTTCTGTGATTATTTACATATTCTGAAATTTTTTCTTCTTGACTAGAGGGGAACCATGAAAACTGCTCAGCGGCATTTTGTATAACCATAAGTGGATGTCCTAAAAGCAGAAATCTTTTTGTTTTAAAGCAAGTAGCATTATTTACTAGTATTAGTGTTCTTTCTTTTCTCTTCAGCTTATGAAAAAAATATAAAAAAAATTTAATAAAAAAAATAAATTGACAGTGTTGTGTGTGACTGTCTACCTTACCTAAATCACAAACCGACCAGGAATTATATTCTGCATTTCCCAAATTCTGTTGAGGTAAAGCCAGARTAACCTGTAGCAGCAGTAAATGTGGCAATTAATACTTTGGGATTAAAGATCATGTTATTTTTCTTCAGAAAATATCTTTGTCTCAGGATGAAAGAAGAATTCACYTCTTATTGCTGAAGTGGAGTGGACAGTGAGGTTCCTCAGGCTGTGGAATAGCTCTTCCTTGTGAGGGAAAGATAACCTGCAAAGAGAATCAAAATTTATTGCTTGAGCAATTCAGGTGTAAAAATTAAAATACAAAATAAATATAAAATGTCCTATCCTTAAAATCATAGTCCTACCTGCAAACTGACTTATTTTAAAATAACTCCTGAATTTTTTACTCCAAATTAGGATATTTATTAGTGATATTTACTCCAAATTAGGAATAGAAGAAGGAAGGTTCTTGGTCAGGCAGAAGTAGGAGACAGTGGTTATGTGGATAATTGTGATTACGTTTATTGCCAGTATTGAATCTAAATATTGCCAGTATTGAATCTAAATATTGCCAATATTGAATCTAAATATTTCTGATAGAGGACTTAAATATTTCCGATACGGGATCTTACTATTGCCAATGCAGGATGGAAATATTGCCAATGTTGAATCTAAATATTGCCAGTACAGGATCTAAATATTGCCAGTATTAAATATAAATACTGCCAGTGCAGGATGTAAATATTGTCAATGCAGAATGTAAATATTGCCAAAATTGACTCTAAATATTGCCAATGCAGGATCTAAATGTTGCTGTTGTAGAATCTAAATATTGCCAGTAGAGGATCTAAATATTGCCAGTACAGGATCTAAATATTGCCAATATTAAATCTAAATACTGCCAATGCAGGATGTAAGTATTGCCAATGCAGGATCTCAGTATTGCCAGTGCAGGATCTAAATATTGCCAGTATTGAATCTCATTATTGCCAATGCAGAATGTAAATATTGCCAGTGCAGGATGTAACTCACAGCCCTATAATCTGTTCCATGAGTTATGGCATCATCAGGTCTTTGTCCCACTTGTTGAGTGACAGGTTTTGGTGAGACCCCATCCCTTTCTGAATTCCCAGAGAGGTTTAGGAGCAGCTTGGGCAGCTTAGTCCCAGCTTTAGTCAGCAATCTCTGGCTGAAAGGTTGCAATAGCAGCAGTTTTGGCTGGAAATGTGCAGGTTTGCAATCCCTGGCTGTGCARAATTCACAGCTGCAAACAAACCCCCGGYGGAGCTGCTTTAGGATTTTATCTCTGTTTAAGTGGATTTTTGTGCTTTCACTCACCCATCCTGTGAGYACAAAAATCTGTGCTCCCTGTCTTCTCCCTGCAAAATCCAAAAACTGCCTGCAACTTTGGGAGTCCCCTTTGCCTCTCTGCACTGGTATTTTAGACCCTTTGGCAGCGTTTTAGACCCTTTTTACATGAACACAATWCCTGTGAGATGTTGTAGCTGTCCTTATGGGGGCAGCTCACCTGTCCCTTGAACTCAGTTGAACTCAAGGCTGTGAGTCTGATGAAGAACTGATGTCTGATGATTTTTGGTTTTATTTTTTATATACCTTTTAATATATTTTATATACCTTTTTAGATTTTTTTGGTATTTTTTTACATATTTTTTGTACTCTTTGCCTACATGCTTGTCATTTTTTCATGCATGTATCTTTGTATCTTTTTGTATTTTTAATGTATTTTTTGTACTCTTAGCCTACATGCTTGTCATTTTTGCATGCATGTATCTACATGTATCTTTTTAGATATTTTTTGTGTATTTTTTTTGTATTTGTAGCCTACACGCTTTTCATTTTTGTAGCGTGGTATTCTATCTTATTTTTGGGGTTCTTTTGCTAAAAGACCGAACATCCTCAATAGGAGGCTGGTAAGCCTTGTGCTATCACAAAAATTGTGGTTTCAACTGAGGTTAAAGC